ATGTGTCTACAGTATAACTTGAAATTGAAAATTACTTACACTTTAGAATGATATCTGGTATTTTTTTTTCAAAGACGTATAAATACACGAATAAAATATTTATTTTAAACCAGTAACATTTCAACAATGAACTGTCACAAAGACTTACTTTGATTCCCTAAATAATACTATTATTGTAAAATTAGCTTGAATGTTAGTGGTGGTTGAGTCCATTCATTCTCAAAATTGATTGTGAGAGCTGTAGTACAAGTTGAGATCTAAGATCAGGTAAGTTTTAATAAATTTTAAAATACATTGAACAAAAGCAGTCCAGCCCCACCAATATATTATATGTTATATATGCATAAGTAGCATACGTACTGAAATATATCAGAAAGCCCTCTTTCCGTGAAAGACTAACAAATGGATGGTTTATTTTAGTTTTTCCTAATATCGGGTTTCTTATAAAATGTAAACGTATAACCTGTATTTTACTGCGAATTAGAAACGGCACTCTTCAAATTTACAGTAGTTGATTTGCAATGTGAATAAGCCTCCAGATCACCTTTGCAGTTAAAATACTTCGTAAGGTTGGTTGCATCAGAATTATGTAGGTGTAACGACTCTATAAATGATTTAGAATGACTTAATAACACGTGTAAACAGTTTCGCGGTAGCATTTGCTTATAGTTGCAGTGATCAAGTCTAGTTAAACATTCATTTGATTAGCTATACGAATGGCAAGGTTGATTTTGAGTTTTGCTATAAGTACAGAGGTTACTCTGATTGGAATATATTATTACTACTTATTATATTACATAAACTGCTTATAAGTTGGGTTGCAGGTCCGATATTTAAAGTATTGGTGCTTTTATCAAAGACCAGTGTAAAAAAAAAACGTCTGTCAACTACATGCAATCAGTGACTGTAACTTGATAAATGTCAAGACATTTCATGATGACAGAGTATGTTGAAAAATATTAAAATGATATTTTAATTCCTTTATGTTTTTCTATGTTAGTAACGTTTACATTTTGTCATTGGTTTGTTAATTTCTGATCACCCTTGTGAATAGGATGATGCACATCTGTGTGTGTCCAACACGCATGCGTGAACTATTTTATTTTAACTTCTATGTTTAAGTTACCAACTCAGGTTTCACATTCGGGTCATAAATATTAAAGACGTAAATCTTACAGTGTGCTGTTCATTATTTAAATATTTTCCATTCTATCGACAGCATGTTCAGCAGTCAGTGTTATATGGGTGAACGTAGAAAGAGGCGGAGTAGAGGGTTTATTTCTGAATAAGGTTTTTGTTGATAATATTCGAATACGTTTTTATCTTTATCAATGGAGGAAGAAATTTTCCTTTTTGTTAGGTTAACCTTTTCAGCAGCTCTTCTTGCGCCTGTTCTTGTCTTGGTCTGATTATTAATTTTCACCTTTTTAGCCGCGGCATAATGGCTCATAGAACGGCTTTGAGTTTTTCAAGTACAAACTTTTAGCTCATAACTCCGTCATCTCTTAACCGATTTGAGATCTAATTACAGTTTTGGACTCAGGAGGTCAAATCATTTCAATTGGTCTATTTGGTCTCATAAATTAATTTATTCTAACCCTGTCTAAAATAATTGCAATTTGAGGTTAGGCTGGTAGAGATTCTGATGACTAATAAAATCGAATCGGGTATACGCGCGCCCCACGCTTGTTATTTCTGGCGCACAAAAATGTAGCTAATGAAAAGGGAAAAAAGGGTTTCATAGATTAATGTACCTAATCCTCTCTAAAAGAACTTCAAGTGCCGCGGCTATTGAGTATTCCCTCTTGTTTTCTTTTTTTCTCTTTAGTACTGTTTAAGTTTGCAGATTAGAAAATTCAATATTTGGTTTGTTTGGAATATGCTACTTCTATTGGTTTTGGGAGTCATTTGCTGCAACGATGAATGAATATTTCTCACGAGTTGAAGTCTCTCTACACTGACCATTTTTACAATAACTTAGTTCACAGTGAATCTCGCACACCAAGCAAACGCATTACTGCTGGTATTAAAAGGTTAAACTTTTAGCAAATGATACTAAGGCACTTTTTTTAATAATTCGACCTACCTGATTTTCACTATGTTTGTGTGATCTGTTTTGAAAAAATAACAGTTTAAAATTTCTGATGAGTAATTTTTACCATGCAATTACAGTTGTGCTCCAGATGGCTCAGCGGTAACTTGTAATACTAAAAAAATCAGGTTTCGATACCAGCGGTGTGCAGAGCATAGAAAGCTCATTGTTTTAGCTTCATGCTTGAAAACAAGGAAGTAGTTACAGTTGTTTTTTGGGTGACTGATGCTATAGAGATGAAACAGACCGTAATCACAACCG